TGGACATACAGATGCTCTTGTCAATATCAGAATACTTCTTTCTTTCAAGAGCTAGCTTACTCCATAAACAGATAGACAACTGCCCATAGTGGCTGGCTAACACAAAATGCAAAACCATAATGTGGTTTATTTGGTTTGGTTTAGCAAGTTGGGTATGAATCCTGCCAATCTTGTCTTATATAAAAGAACGTATAGGTTATTCTGCAAATTTAGCCAATGGTGGTTTACTAAGTCAACCATGGTTAAATAAATTATAATTTATGCCTGAATATTTATTTATTTATGTATCAGGTTTAGATCTCACCTAGGGAGATCTAAGGTTTAGAGAGTACATACAGACACTTAATTTGCTTAATCTGCTGGGGCAGAGATGTATAATTGGGCGTCATCAGCATACTGATGACACCTCACCCCATGATGACAGATGAGCTAACCCAGCGGCCTCATGTAGATGTTAAAAAGGAGAGGAGAGAGCACCAAACCCTGTGGCACTACACATAGTAGAGGCCGAGGGCAGGACCTCACCTCCCCAGTCATCACTGACTGGAATCGACCTCGAAGAAAGGAGGCAAACTAGCACAACCTATGCCGCCTACCCCCAATCCTCTGAGCCAATCCAGTAGGATACCATGGTTGATGGTATCGAAAGCTGCCAAGAGGTCAAGTAGGACAAAGATGGATGCACAACCCCCATCACGCCCATGCCAGATCATCCAAAAGCGCAACCGATGTTGTTTCCATCCCATACCTGGGCCTGAATCCTGACTGAAAGGGATCCAGATAATATGCTTCATCCAAGGTCCTCTGAAGATGTTGTGCAACTACCTTCTCAACCACCTTCCCCAAAAGGGGGGGGGGTAGATACTGGACAAAAATTGTGCAGTATAGTGGGGTCCAGTGATGGCTTCTTGAGAAGGGGGTGAACCAAGAGGTAAAGGTTGTTCCCTCACTGAAAGAATTAACCACTGCTAGAACCCACTCACATGACATCCCCTGGGCCGCTTTAACCAGCCAGGAGGGGCATGGATCTAAAGAACAGGTGGCTGAGCTCACAATCCTGAGGGCTCTGTCCACTTCCCCAGGTCCAACAGGTTCAAATGTTTCCAGATAACCAGACAAGACTCTACCCCAGGCATCTCCTCTGGACTGGCAACAAAACTGGCATCCAACTGCATGCAAATCCAAGCAATTTTGTCCAACAGATGCTGAGCAAATTCCTCCACACCCCTGCAAATGGCTCCCCAGACCCCCATTACCCAAGAGGGCTTGTGTCACTTGAAATAGAGCTGGGGGAAGCAGTCTACAGATGCAATAAGGGCAGAGAAGTACTGCTGCTTTGCCGCCCTTACTGCTGTGTTTGGTTGAGTTTGTCCTTGGTTGAACGCCAACAACACTCTAGGCTCATTTCATCTCCCTCAATTCCTCTGTAAACCACAGGGAGTGACAGGATACCTGAGAGGGGAGAGGTTGCATGGGTGTGATCCTATCCAATGCCTGAGCCACCTCCTTGTTCTAAGTGGCAACCAAGGCTTCAGATGGACTGTGCAGCAGACCAACAGGAACAACCCCCAGCTCCCTCTGAAACCCATCTAGGTCCATCAGTCACCAGGGGCAGACCAATTTAATGGTTCCAGCCTCCCTGCAGTGGGTAGTGGTGCTAGAGAATCCCATGGAAATCAGGGCGTGATATGACCATGAAAAGGGAGACACCAAAAGCTCCCCCAAGTTCAGATCACATAGCCACTGCTCTGAAGGAACACCGAATCCCGAGTGTGACTACTGTCTTGCATCGGGCTCTGGATGACTTGGGATAGGTCCATGATTGTCATGGTGGCCATGAACTCCCGAGGTACCTTAGACCCCATTCCTAGGGAAGGCAGATGAAGTCCTACAGAACCATAAGTCAGGGGAACTTCACTGCCAACCCAGAAATGAAGTGAAGGAGCTCAGGCAGGGAAGTTGCTATGCAGCAGGGAGGCTGATACAACAGCAACAATCCCAACTGATTCCTAGAGGCCAACTTAATGAACAGGGCCTCGCATCCAGAAAAATTACTCAATGATGGAAGTGCTCAGGTATAAAACCAGCATAAAAAACCAATAGAGACCAAGGATAGCACAATAGTGTAAAGTCACAATCATAACAACTACACTAAAATTCTAAAACTTCAGTGATTCCTCAGTGGTCTGGGGAGGGGGAAGTCTTCACCAGAAGTTTCAGAAAGAAGGTGATGGAGATCTGTCCTGTCTGCCAGTTGTGTTCTGGGCACAATTGAAGGCATTAGGCCTAACCTTCAAACAGAGCCCTAATAAGCCGAGAGCTGGACTATCTAAGAGATGGCCTCTCTCTCACTATGAATATACCTAGATTTTTAAGGTATGTAGGAAAAGCCCTTTGAAAGTTATTTCCACTTTCAGAAGCCCATGAAGAAGAAGGGCTTGTCCCCCACGTCTAAGGCTACAAAACACATCCCATTAGGAACTGCAGTATCTGTTACATTTGCCTGTTTAGGAAATGCATTGCCCTCACCTTTCGAAACAGGCCTTTTGAATTGTTTTTACAATGTTTTGAATATTTTAGTATACATAGTTTAATTATGTTATGGTATTTTACTTATGTTAATTCCCTTGATCATCCTGTATGAAGGAAAGGTGTGGTATAAATTAAATGGATAATAACAGCCATGGCTGAATTAACTGTCCTAGCAACCGAAGATGATATTTATTGTAAGTAGCATTTTTTAGAAACATTAAAGCAGCACTGTGAGCAAAACTGATCTGAGAGATGCCCTC